AGGATATTTTCAGGCCCACAGATAAGCACATCATTTGTGTGCCCTTTAGATGAAAAGGCAATTAGCCCCCAGAGGACTGTGGCCTTGTCCTCTTGCAGGTCTGCAAAGCCACTGTAGGGAATAATTAACAGCTCCCTGTGCCCTTCCGCCCCTGAGCACAGGCAGCGGTAGGTGACATTCGGCCTTGTTGCTAGGTTGCCAATGCCAGGGCAGATACGAGGTAACTGAGCTGGGTTCCCAACAGTGAAGGGCAGATGAAAGCCTGTCTGGTTAACACTCCTTGCATGGCCAACGAGCCGTCTGAGGGACACAGTGGTCAGAAGCCCACTCACCAGCTAAATCGGCCTGGTGAGTCCACTGAGGAAGAGACAGCCAAGTGCCAGTGCAATTGCTTTCAAACGTCATCTCACTAACAGACACGACTTGAGTACCTACAAGCAACAGTGGCTATGTTTCCTTGTAACACATGTAACACATGTAACACATGTGTGTTCCTGGAGACAAGAGGACAGAGGGAGAAGAGTTCCTTTCACACCCAACTCACCGGTGTTCGGGGAGAGTCTGCCGCATTCTGGTTTTGTCTTCCTGAGGAAAAGAAGGAAAGTGTAAAACGCAAAGTTTCAAACTTTCTTCTCAACTAGGCATGCACCTTCTCGGTGTAGAGGTGCTGAGTAGCCCCACCACTCTGAAGCCACAGTGTAGGACAAAAAGTGTGAGTGTGTACTGTGTGTGTGCAGGTGTGTGTGTGTGTTGCACAAGCGTCTGTGGTATGTGCATGTGTTGTGCACAGAAGTGTACATATGCCCGTGTTCACACACGTGGAGACGACATTAAGACTTCTGCTGTGTCCTGTCTTCCCTGCTTGTTGCACTGAATGAGCCACTCCCAGCCTGGCTTTCCAGACGATGCTGGGACTACAGACCCTCACTGCCACGCCCTGCTGTTTACATGAACACTAAGGATCCCAGTTCAGGTCCCCAGTCCTCCTGTTCACAGAGCACATGCTTTTCCCTACAGAGCAATCACCCAGCCTCAGAATAATCATTTTGATCACTTCCTCACTCAACCCATACATGGGATTATAAACACACACATACATAACCACTGTGTGAGCTGTAAGATGCAGCTTGGGCAATGTAAATAACGCTGAATTTCTTTGAATGCTGGGATGACCTGAATCACCACAGAATTACCTACAATTACAATGCTGTGGGTTTTGCTGCAATGTGACCCCTGACAGTCAGTGTTTGACATTCATCAAGAGGTCCTATTCACACACCCCGCTGCATAAATAAGCAACTAGCATGGATTCACAGACAATTAATTCTGCTCAACAATTACATTGGTCCCAAAAGTCTGAAACTTAGAAAAATGAGAACAAATCAAAGTTTTTGTTATAAAAAGAAGAGCCTCCTATTTAAAAGGCAAGGTAGCCTTGTGTATATTCCTCTCAATATTGTGTCAACAAGGAGACCACATAACCATCTCTTGACTGTGTTTTACTCTTGTCTTTGTCCATCTTAGTCCAGCACCAGGAAGAAGCAAACCCCAGAAAGACCCATCACCTCTAAAAGGGGACACAGGGGAATGGTTCCATCCCCACAAATGGTGTAATGAGACAGAGTGAAACAGCTGACTCTCTTGTCCACATTCCTGTGTCCATGCTTGCTGGCCCAAGGTACACTGGAGCCTTGTGACAGAATTCTAGTCATATGTAGGTAGAAGAGACAGAACCCTCCCCCCAGGTCTGACCTGACCCCATGAAATCCCCCAACTTTAACTTGTGTGTTCAAGATGCCAGCATTTATAAACAGAGAAACGTTTCTCAACCATATCAGATTTTCACAACCGGGAAATTCTCCTTTATCATATTAAGCCATCAGGAGTTCTGGGTTTATTTGTTACGCTGGAGCAGAGTCTGTGCTGATAAACTTGGGCTGATTGACAACGGCACCACCCCTTAGTATGTACGGCACTAACTTGGACACGGAGCCATCTTGCCACCCCCAAAAGCACACTTCTTTAATACTTGAATGTTTTGATCATGCCTTTGGTGGCTTGAGAGATCGTTACAGACTCCAAGGTTTCCTTCTAGCAGTTTGAGATTTTTCAGCTAAATATTCAGGTTTAATGACTCATCTTGAGTTCACTTTTACATGCGAATGGGCAGTTCTCACTTTTTATTTTGCATATAGATATCTAACTGTTGCCATGCTGTTTGTTGAAAAGATCATCCTTGGTCAGGTGTTGGTGGTGCCCGCCTTTAATCCCAGCACTCGGGAGGCAGAGGCAGGTGGATCTCTGTGAGTTTGAGACCAGCCTGGTCCACAAGAGCTAGTTCCAGGAAAGCCTCCAAAGCAACAGAGAAACCCTATCTCGA